CCGAATGGCATCACCCAATATTCATAGTGCCCATCGTGTGCCCGAAATGCGGTCTCGTGGATATCGTCTGGGTGAACGCGTATTTGATGATATCCAGCACGAAGATCTAATTTGCTAAAAAAATCCGCACCATGAAGTTCATCAACATATCGTCAACCGTTGGAATTGGAAATCTGTCTTTGACAGTGACTTCATTTAATTTTCTGTAATCTGTACAAAAACGCCAAGATCCATCCTTCTTTCGTACTAATTAATAAAACTGGCGACAAGAACGCACTATTACTATGCCGAATCAGCCCCGACTCGAGTAATTCCGCTACCTGCTTCTCTATTTCATTTTTTTGAAAGTGAGCGTATCTATACGGTGGAACGTTCCCCACTTTTGATTCGTCGGTAAGAGGGATACGGTGGTCGAACTCTCTCGGTGGTGGTAATGTTTTTGGTTCCTCCTGTACATCAGCAAATTCCTCCAGAATTTGTTGTATGGCTTTGTTTTATGCAGGTTTAATTGATTTTGGTTCATATTGGTGAATCGATGTAAGCCCAAATAGTTCTCCACCTTCTTCCCAATCTGCCAAAATTGAATTCACGTCACTCTGCTCAATTTCTTTCCTCGACGTCCCTTAATGTGGTGTTCTCGATCCCCTTTGTAGACCCACATCGACCTAGCATGATAATCTGTTAGAACAGGCCCGAGGGATTCTAGCCAAGGCAAGCCGAGTACGACATCCAAGCCAATAATCGGAAAAGAAAAGATAGTCGTTTCAAACGCATATCCTTGCAGCTCCATAGGTACCTTTACAAACTTCTCACACCATTCTAACTTCTCCCCATTGGCAACCTTGACAAGAAACGGTCGAATTCGAGTCACCGGAATTCGTAGTTCCTCAGCAAGTCGTGGATTAATGAAATTCAAACTGGACCCACTATCGATCAACATCTCTACCCTTGCCTTCCTTAACAAACCCGCGAGGCGCATCTTAGGGGCCCCGGTTTCTTCCCCAATGCGTTTAATGAAATATGGGGTTCATCTTCAAAGTCCTCTTCTTCATTTTTCTCCATTTCAATCAATAATGCTTGTGCGCGTTTACATCGATGCCTCGGAACATATTTCTCGTCGCAGTTGTAGCATTAATTTTTTTCTCTCCGTTGTTGCAACTCATCCCACGATATTCGTCGTGTCTCCCCGGTCAGCAGTGGTCGACTACAATTACTTGTCGTTGGCGCCCCTCTCCCTGTTAGGCGATTATCCAAATTCCATTTTCGTGTTGAATGTAATTGTTCATCCTTTCTCTTGGCTAATTTGATAGCATTTTGCAAATCCTTTGGTTTAAATAGCCGAACATCACTTGCTATTTCTTCTCGGAGGCCAGCCATAAAGGCTCCCATGAGTGCCTCTTCTCCCCACTCCGGCAAACAATTCATGAGGCGTTCGAATTCTCCTAAGAATTCACAAAATCGTCCTCTTTGACGAAGATGACATATTGACTCATTTGGATCTTCATAGTCTCCGTGTCCAAAACGGAGAAGAAGTCCCTTTTCGAAGTGTTTCCACGAAATTCGGCGATCTCGATTTGCTCGCTCGAACCACTGCAACCATTGATTGGCATCCCCTTCTTGATTAAATGACGCTAATGTAACCTTTCGTGTACCGTGGATTTCGTTAGCCAAAAAAAAATTGTTTTGCCCGACTAAGCCAAACCCTCGATTCCTCCCCAACAAACCTTGGAAAATCCATTCGTATTTGATTCCTCCGTCTGTCCCTAAATTCGTGACCCCTCTGTCCCGACGCTCGTCTTCTCACTGAGCCGTTGGAAGCGTGAGTCCCCTCGCTATCTTCCCCTTCGGTCAACGTGTTCGTTTGCGAACGACTGTTCCGTCTGCCCCAAGGATTACGCAGATTGCATTGTTCTCGCCATTTCTCCATTAACTGTTGCATCGATGTCTTTATTTCTTGGATGGAATTCTCCAACAATTCCAATCTTTCTCTGTTAGTTGCCATCGTTCAAGCCGGTATTGATGTTATCTCAATGTGGCTCTGTATACCAATTGATACAATCTCCTGGTAAAAGAAGCAATATATTGCTATAGATGAAACTTCAAATTCCGTTTTTGCATATAAAGAAAAACAACTCCTACAATAGTTCCCCATTAATACATTAACTTCTCTACAATAACTACCCATAATCTAATAATAACTTTTAAACAAAATATAAGTAAATAAATAATAATATTTAATTAAACTTTTCTCGTGCATATCATTCTAGCCATCTGTTAAATAGCATGGATTGGGTTTTGGCTTGCGAGAGCTACGGCGAATCGTATCAGTTGGATGAACCTCATCATATGCATGAACTAATTAATTTGCATGTACTATTAATTTTAGATGCACCTCTACAGATTGAACTAATCTGTGTGTATAAAATTATTTTACTAACCTAATTATTTAGGGGCATTTTGGTACATACAGAAGTGAAAGAAACCCCAGCCACACAAGTACTTCTATAATATATATATATATATACATATATATATAATAAAAAAAGTAATTATAGACGATATAGATATGAATAGACAACAGATAGATATATTGATAGTGAAATGGCAAATTAAGGAGCTTGGTGGACGTGTGCCCCCACCCGTAAGCATTTGTTCATATAGTACTAAGTCATCGATCTAAGCATTATGTTTACGCTCAGTGTATGTATTGTTTCCAGTTGATTCTTTATGTACTTTTCATTTTTTTCGTAAATTTCTAAGAGCATGTTTGGCAAACTTATAAAATGTTTTAGTATTTTTTTTTTATAGAAAGATCTCAAAGTTTTAAAAGTAAGCTATTAGGAGCTTATAAATTATTTTTAAAATAATAGTTATACCCCACATTTTTGTACTAATTAAAACACTTAAAATACAAAATTGCACTCTAGTAACTTATATGTTCCATGTTCAAACACTTCAAAATTTGATCTTTAAAATAAGATCTAATAACTTACCGTTCCTAAAACATCTTATTAGATGTAGGATGTTTTTGTTAAACGGGTCCTAAATTCTCTTACTCAGCTCTCTTCCTTAGTTCTCTATGTGTTGTGGAATACATCTATTCATGTAGTAATAAAACTCAATCTAAGTTCTTTGTATAAGCTCTCTATGTGTTGTTGAATACATATATTCATGTAGTGTGTTGTATATATTCATGTATTGAATAGTCCTCTTCCTCAACTCTCTAAGTTGTTGAATGCATCTGTTTCATGTAGTGTTAAGTCATCAGTCTAAAGTCACAGCTCTCTATGTGTTATTGGGTAATATGTTCATGTATTAAGTCCTTAGTGGCTAAACTCTCTATATGTTGTTGAGTGAATATGTTTATGTATTGTTGCATGAGGCGCAAAATTGAATTTTCAGTGTCCACATAACCTAATTAGAGGACTTTAAGGCTTTGTTTAGTTTATAAAAAATAGTGTTTAAAAAATGAAAAAAGTAGGTGAATAATTTTGTTGTTTGGTTAGAATGTAAAACACGCTGCAAAGTAATTTAGAGGAAAACATGGAAAACAATTAGACTAAAACAAAGAAAAATTTATTTCCTCAAATATTTTGAGTAAAGTGAAGGAAAACATCGCCATTGAACATCGAATGTTGCGATTTTACATCTTCCTCGCACAATCGGACATCGGTCGCGGTCGAACGTCATTAAACCAAGATTTCCATTTTTATTTTTCTTCGAAACCAAACATATTTCATTTCCATTTACATTTCTCGTTTCTTTATTTTCAAATCCATGATTCAAACAGACCCTAAAATAGAATGAGAAATGTTCCATGAAATATAAACGATACTAAAATTTAAGTAAAGGACTTTAATCTAAATGAAATTATTCTCTTTATTTTACGCAATACCAAATATTTTTCACAAATTTTTAACTAATAAGGGTAGTTTTGTCATTTAACTAAGTTTACATGCTAATTTCATGTACGGCTGGCAATCGGGTCATGTGAGCCGAGCTTGGGTCGCCTCGTTACTATAGGCTCAAGCTCACATATCATCGGACCTCATTAGTATAGGCTCAAGCTCGACTCATGTATTTTTCGGGTTTCGAGTTTATATCGGGCCTCATTATTATACAATTGTGATGAGTAAAAAAAAATTATAAAAACAAGTGATAAACAAGATTTACCTCCATTTGAAGCCAATCCAAAAAAACACTAAACGATCTTCGCAAGTTATTGGAAAAACTTAAAAATAAGACTGAAAGAAGTAAAAATAAGACTAGTAACTCTTATTATTGGAAACATTTTATATTCTCAAATATCGGTGATAAATTTCAGCAGCTGGATTTCAATGGGTATTTTGCATTTGATTCCTATTTTACTTAATGTCACCACCACCACTTAATTCATTTTATTTTGCAAATAAAATTATATTATACGATCGTAACTTGTATGTTGAGTCATAACATTAAAATCATAAATATAATATATATTTTATTATTAACCTAATAAGTCAGACCTTATTCGGATTGAGCCATTGTAGACTCAAACTCGACTCATAAATAAATCGGGTTTAGTAAAATTGCTCAAACTCGGCCCGACTCACTAAAAAGTAGGTTCGGCACAAATATAATCGGGCCGAGCCATCGGGCTTCGGTTAGACCCGGCTCAATTGCCGATCCTAATTTCATGTAAGGGGCAGCAAGCTATATGAAACACAACATAGAGGATCCTTACTAATATTTTTAACATGAGTACTTTTTTATATAGTCAGACATTATAAGGGGGTGAGCAATTAACTGCAATACATGCATACACACCTAAAATACATACAGCTACTCGGTGTCAGATTCAGACAACAGTCTTAACCAAATAATTTCCTAAAAAGGCATTTCATATATATATATATATATATATATATATATATATATATATATATATATATATATATATATATATATAGTTTGACAAAATCACCAGAAATCATACTCTGATATCAAAGAATCTAGAATAATTTCAGTATAACAGCATAACTGCAGCTGCTTTGAAGGTGCATACTGATAAATCGACAAAAAATATCATCAGTTTTGCAATATTTCACTTTACTCGTTTTCCTACAGAGAAAAAAATTGTATCGGCCTAAATCCACCTTACAAAAGGTCGAAAAAATGCTTTTACTAGGCTTAATGTATTTAAAGATCATACAGATGCTGTTTCAATTTACAGCAAATTCAAATCAGGACGAATCTGCTTACGACATTCCAAATCAAAACTTTTACATAACTCTTAACACCAATTAGCAGATAATATATATACAGATGATGATGAGCGAGCCTCTGCTATAGTTATACCATATTACCGAACAAAGCTTCACAAAGCTTCTGCCCCCAAAAAATATCGTTCTGTTGCCTCGAACCATTTATCTTTTCGGGTTGACTTTTTCAATCATTTACCAACAAATTAAGTAATAGAAAGTATTACCTCCACCTAGCAGGAGAATTAGACTGTTTTTTCTTGCTTTTCTTGAGAAGGGTAGACATGTAGTCGACAGTTTCTTCGGATGACTGGTTATCACCAGTCAACCACCTGAGAGCCTCTGCAGCTGCATCCTTTTCAGCATCTTTCTTACTTCCCCAAGGTCCTCCAGCAAAATCTAGACCGTTGAATGTAACCGTTGATCTGAACTTGTTGTTTTTTAGTGGTTTTGTCTTGTATGAAGGTGGTTCGTGACCTGCCCTTCCAAGTAAGGTCTGTAGAAGAGATTTTGCATTGTCATTGCTGCCTTTTCGTATACCTGATTGAATATCTTTTTCGGGTTTTCTAGAAGGTGTTGGAATCTGACGCCCGTACACAAATCTGCCTTCGCATTGGTCCTCTGATACCAACAATCTCACTGCTGTTAGAAGTTCATCATGACATTCCTCTATGTTCATCTTTGGATTTAAAAGCTGCAGTGCAACAAAATATGAGACATCTAAGATTTGAATTGTTGAACAATTTAATGGAAAATGACTACATAACAAACATTTCATTTCATATATATACCTTCTTCTGAAGGAGTTCATCAAGCTCACTCTTTAAACTCAGGTATGTAGCAGCCAACTCGGGCTTCATAAAAAATTCCAAATATCCCCCCAACATTTTCATGTGGCCATCCTATAAAGAAAAGAAAAGAAAAACAAAACTGCATTAACTACAAGCAAGTGGACTTTAAACTAAAGGAATTCGCAATGTAATGTCCTCCAAACATAAGACTTACGATTCCGCCTCTAGAAATATGTCCTCCAAATAAAAGTACCACGGAATCAGATACACCAGTTGAATCGCGGAGAAATACTGAATTGACTTTCACTTTTTCATTGAAAACAAGCCAAGGAAATCGAATCTTGGCTTCCTGAGCATTCACAGAATTCTGACACAAAAACAATTAAGGGATATTAATCCAAGCTCGACATAGAGATATATAAGTATCAAAAGGTGCGTTAACTGAATAATCGTACCGAATGCAAAAGCACTGGTCCGTCCTCCATGGTTTTTAATGATATTGACCTCTCCTTGTTCTGTATAAATATACAACTATTAGTACTTAATATGCTGATAGAAATGCCGGCCAAACATTATCAACAAATAATATTGGACTGATTGAGGGAATATGAGCACGAATATGAACTGACCACAACAGAGCATATCCCAGGGAAGAGACCAGCGCATATAAGAGCACGGATGAGATGTTCATCATGACTCCATTTGTTGCAATTATCAACAGTTTCAACCAAACCAATGTCTTTGAGCAGATAAAGGAACTGCTTCTTTAAGGAATCAATGGCTCTCAGAGTTTGTGTAGAAAGGAAATTTCTCCAACAGTATTCATAACCAGACTGCTTCCTTTCAGCTTCTCTCCAGCCCTCAAAAGCCCGATAAAGAGCAACATGGTCGCTGAACTCACGTCCTGAAAATTGGGCCTTTGCAGACTCAGCTAGCTGCAACACGTGAAAAAGAGAAACCTAATGAACTAGAACAATAATACAACATGTCTATATTTTAGAAGCCAAAGCATGCACCCACAAGTTCTATTATTACAGGATGCTTACAAGCTGAAATTATGGATACGTGTGCACATTCACCGCTAGTGTTGGAGGCTTGCGCGTTAATGCATGAGACTATATCTAACTCGTTACTTAAAAGTGTATGCTCAATTAGTAAACAATAAAAATAAAAAATGGACACAGCATTTTGCAATGTCAAAAAAACTTGGAACATTCTCCAGAAAGAGACGAGTTCCATACCAGGAACCTATAACCTCCTCATAATCAAGTGATATACACTATGCACAGTCTAAGCATTTGTGAACAACTCAATTAATCAGCAAAAGGGAGGAACTTTTTTAAATGATAAACTTTATGTCTAGGGGTAGACAAATCAAACAGATCAAAGCATCCAATTTATAACATTACCCAAAAAAAATCCAAGTCAAGTTAATAACAATGGCAATGAGATATTACGAACATGTGAAATCAGACATAATTATAGCCATCAAGGAACTTCAGATGATGAAATCCATATTCCAATAGCGAAGACACGAAGAAATATCCAGAAGCTATTCATGAAACTGTAAAGGGGTGCTCGGGAGATTGTAATATAACTGCACATTTTCATGGAAAAGCAATAGAAGTTCACTTGTTTCATTTTCTTTCTTTTGCTCCAATTATGTTTAGTTTTCATTATGTACTAAATAAACAGAAATCGAAATGAAAAAAAAATATAAATATACATCTCAAGGTCTGATACTACTTACATCCTTCTTATCAAATGGCATCAAGAATGGATCTCTGACACTTAGGCCAGCAACAATAGTCAACATCGGATCTAAGCAGTTAAACATAGCACCATATATAAGCATTTTACCAAGCTTTGGCTCAACTGGAAGCGTGGATAAGTTGCGCCCTGTCAGCAAACGAACATATCATTAGTACACCTCGGATTTTGCAATAACTATGGTTGTGGAACTTACCAAGGCCACACACACACACACACACACACACACACACACACACACACACACACAAAAATACGAATATACTGTAAATAAGAAAAGTTAAGGATTCTGTAGCTACCCAGCACTGTAAGATTTTCACTCTCATCTAAAGCCCCAATCATCTTTAAATACTCGATCGCATTTTGAACCTGGGAAGCAGATAAATGAATAGATATGAAGATAAAACTTCCAAACACAGCAATGATGCTGGTAAATGCAAGGAAAAGGAAAATGGGTAAGTTGTACATATATACTGGGGACTCCATTTAACTTACAGATAGAGGTTCGGGTGGTTGTAGTGCTTTCGACAAGAAGTCTGAAATGCTCCCAAGTTGTAGACTCTTGATTTGCAAACATAAAGACTGTAAAGGTGTTCTCAAAAGCTCCGGCAATTGATAATCTGCAAAGGCATCATGCACACACCTCGGGTAGAGATGATAACATTCGCCTGATTGAACACGGCCTGCTCTGCCTTTCCTCTGATAAACAAAATAGCATCCGTCAAGTACGGCATTTACTAATATATATATATATATATATATATATATATATATATATATATATATATATATATATATATATATATATATATATATATATATATATATATATATATATATATATATATATATATATATATATATATATATATATATATATATATATATATATATATATATATATATATATATATATATATATACACCCCACAAATAGTTTCTTGAAAAATTGCCAAGTAAGAAACTAAGAAAAATTTACTTGGCGAGCCGAAGCCTTGGAGATCCAGGAAGGAAGCAAACAAGGAGTGTTATTTAGAGCATCATAAGAAGTCTCTTTTGCTTTCCCACAATCAACCACAAAAACTACATCATTTATGGTGATACTTGTTTCAGCCATATTTGTTGCCAGAACAATCTTCCGCACTCCATCTTCTGGTTTATCAAAAATAAGTTTCTGCATTCCCAAAAACATAATGGTAAAGATAGACACAAAATTAGATAAAATTAGGTGGAACAGGAAGAAGGCTGAAGCAAAGATAGAGAAATGAAGTAGGTAAATGCATAATAAGTTTAATTTACTATGCATGCTGTCACATTGTATGTCTCGTATCATAAGAAGATAAATATATTTATATTAAGAATTTCAGCATCTTCCTGTTTAACATTGTGTGCCCTAATTGATATAGTGCCAATCAAACAAAAGCATCAATATATTCATTTTTAAAAAATATGAAAAAATAGAACACGTCTATATATTCATCGTTAAAATATATAAAATGATAGAACATGTCTACCAAACAAGGAAATTTGAAAGTTATATATGTGGAATTGGCACCCTTTATCCTTGAGTTAGCTTTTGTGGATGAGTTCTACCCAAAACCGTTGAACATGGAGCAGAGAGCCAGGCTGAATGAGAGGTACTGTGTTCGAATCCCGCCGACCCGAGTTTCTCAGTCCTAGTAACCCAAACCCGTTTACATTACCCAAACCAGTTTAACATTGTCTATGTGTCCTAATCCTTACCACCCACCCTCTTCCAAACACAACCACCCCCCCCCCCCCCCCCCCCCGCTTTGGAAGATCCCAATTCAGAACCTCCATTTTGTGCTGATTATCTTTCGGAAAATGGCCCCAAACTGGGGCAGGTCGACCCTTTCAAACTTTCAATAGGACTACTACAACAACCCCCAGTGGGCCTGCTAAATCAAGAAC